ATAATTAATTTATATTTGAGTGATAAAGATGGGTATCAGGGATGTAAGGGAGTAAAGGGAAGGTTAGATGAGCTAGTCAGAGAATTCCCTTAAAGCCATTTTTATTTGTAAATCATATGCAATTCCAGACTCAAAGGGTTTGCAAAGAAATCATATATGGTAAAATTACTTTAATATTGATAAAATTTAAATACCAATGCTTTCCCAATTTGACAATTATTATGAGCAATACCCACTCTAGGCCCGATGACGTAGAACTTGCAAAAGGAAAATTTTGTCCTCGAAAAGTGCGACTACTCCAACCAAAGCCACCTCGACAAATTTACCACAAATTAGCCAATCAAAAGTAGGAATCTGAACAATAGAATTGCTACGAATCAGACAAATGTCCATGGGTTTACACGGCTTAGAAGACTGCCGGCACCTTTGTTGTCGAATATAAACGTGCTGTCGCATAGCAACATAGTTGTATGATCTAACAGTGTCAGCCTGATAATCAGTCTTTGTCTGGAAGAAACAAACTGTAATCGTAAAGACCGTGTTTTATACGGTCTCTAATTTGCTTTCCTGTCATATTTGAAGTTGTACATTACTATTTTCCTATATCTTTGGTGACACAAATCACTAATTTGTGAAGAAGATGTATTACAAGCTCTTCTTCATCATTTAGTTTTACCAACCGGAACAATGGAAGAATATTTAAATTCAAAATTTGCCGCTAATCTATTGTCTAAACACTCAAACACTATTGGATAATTTGTGAAAAAATTTGTCAGGGTGGCTTTGGTTGGAATAGTCGCACTGTAAATGAACATTTTGATGGCATACCAAGGGTTCTGATGTTGTCATAGCAATGTGTTACGTCATTTTTTCATGTTCATTGTGATCTTTGGTTTATGGTCTTTGGCTTTCCAGGTTTACTTGCTGTCATATTATAGCCATATTAATTTTTTTTCGTTCATAATGTGAAGGCACAAAACACTTTCCAGCCTCCTTAACTGATTAGATTGGATATTCAATCTTCTCTAGCTGGGGTAATAGCATGAGTTAAGGGGAATTATTGATCAGTTGWCCCACCTCAATAACCTCTCAAAATATTAATTATTGGGAAATGKCTCTTTCTTCATTGGTTTAGGCATTTCTACGACGAGCAGTGAATGGGATGATAGACCTCCAGAGGAGATGTATGCTTATAACGATGAGATTGGTACGCCATACTGTATTACTATACTGGAGTCCACTTTAAGCAATGGAGTTGTCACATTAAGAAATAGAGATACCACATTACAAGAATTTATTCATATTTCAGACGTTTTGAAGACATTACAAAATCATTTAAAACCTGCGTAAGAAAATCTGTAAGACTGGACCGGAAGTAGAATTATTATGGCTCGCCCCAGTTAACTCAGCTCAGCAGCTCTCTGGGCTTCAATTCATTGTCTATATCCACCATTGATTCTGACTTGTGTTAGTAGTTGATATTAAATATGGAAGACATAGAAAATGAGGTCAGTATTTCCACAGTAGAAATGCACACCGGTGGACAGCCTCTACGCATTATAACATCTGGCTATCCTTCGATCCAAGGTAAAAGTATCCTTGAAAAGCGCAAATATGTCAAGGAAAACCTAGATTACCTTCGCAAGATGTTGATGTTTGAACCAAGGGGACATTTTGACATGTATGGTGCCTTAATTGTGGATCCTGATTTCGAACAAGCTGACCTAGGAGTGTTATTCCTGCACAACGAAGGGTATAGCACCATGTGTGGCCATGCTGTTATCGCTTTAGGTCGATATGCCATCGATTCGGGTCTAGTAGCCACGGATACTGCATCGTCCACTGTTGGAGAGGTCCCTGTATTTATCCAATGCCCTTGTGGTCTAGTTAAGGCCTTGGTGGAAGTATGCGATGGAAAATCCGGCCGTGTTCGCTTTATTTCTGTTCCGTCTTTCGCTTTTGCCCTCGATGTTGAAATAGAAACCCCGCAGTTTGGCACTATCAAAGTAGACATAGGGTATGGCGGAGCTTTCTACGCGCTGGTTGCCGAAGATCAACTCAACATAGATCTGCGGTCTGCTCGCGTTAAGGATGTTGTTGAAGCAGCTAACGTCGTCACCAAGGCTGTCAAAAACAAGGTCAAACTGCATCATCCTGAATCAGATGATCTGGCGTTTTTGTATGGAACGATTGTGACTGACGGCAAAGATGGTTACAGTGAGGATCCCGATGACTGTACCTACAATGTTTGCGTGTTTGCTGATAGCCAGGTTAGTAAAATGATGAACGACTATTGAGCAACGATAAATAACTCTCATCCCAGTTTAATTCGAGTTTTTATTCCAAAATGTTCCAATTATTTTGAATTTGCCGATCATGTATTTGTTTAAAAATAATATATGCATATATATATTGTGGTCGAACTTTCATTCCCAGTTTATTTTATCGAAGTCATATATATATATATATATATCTATGCAAAAGTTTGTTCATTATTTTTATAATTATTTTACTTTTTTCTCTTTTTAAAATACCATTTCATATTTAATAATGTACATTTTGAATTAATTCAATCCCACAGTACGCCTTTTTCTTTTGACAATTAAGCAGCTGTGTTTTGGGTGGAGTATTTTTTTAAATAAACACCTGTCAATGAACCTGCAATACTTGACTCTTTTTGGCTAAAGAAAGTGAAATTTAGAATATGGATATAGATTTTAGTAAACAAGAAGAATAAGAACATTTGGTTGTGAGGGACGGGATATTACCGTATAGTAGACTAGTGTAAATATATGGGGGTTTTAATTTAAGGGCTTGGAATACAGGAATTGTTTTATTTGTTTTATTGGGTCTTAGATAGGTGTCCCCAATTAG